GGCTTCATCCCAGGGATGCAGGGGTGGTTCAACATACGAAAATCAATAAACGTAATAAACCACATTAACAGAAGCAAAGACAAAAACCACTTGATCATCTCAATAGATGCAGAAAAAGCCTTTGATAAGATCCAACACATTTCATGATAAAAGCTCTAAGAAAACTAGGAATAGAAGGAAAGTCCTCAACATTATAAAAGCTATATATGACAAACCTACAGCCAGCATTATACTTAACGGAGAAAAACTGAAACCATTCCCTCTAAAATCAGGAACCAGACAAGGATGCCCACTATCTCCACTCCTATTCAACATAGTACTGGAATTCCTAGCCAGAGCAATTAGGCAAGAAGAAGGAATAAAAGGAATACAAATAGGTAAAGAAACTGTCAAAATATCCCTATTTGCAGACGACATGATCCTATACCTTAAAGACCCAAAAAACTCTACTCAGAAGCTTCTAGACATCATCAATAGCTATAGCAAGGTAGCAGGATATAAAATCAACATAGAAAAATCATTAGCATTTCTATACACTAAAATGAGCAAACTGAAAAAGAATATATGAAAACAATTCCATTTACAATAGCCTCAAAAAAAATCAAATACCTAGGTGTAAACCTAACAAAAGATGTGAAGACCTCTACAAGGAAAACTATACACTTCTGAAGAAAGAGATTGAGGAAGACTATAGAAAGTGGAGAGATCTCCCATGCTCATGGATTGGTAGAATCAACATAGTAAAAATGTCGATACTCCCAAAAGTAATCTACATGTTTAATGCAATTCCCATCAAAATTCCAATGACATTCATTAAAGAGATTGAAAAATCTACGTTAAATTTATATGGAAACACAAGAGGCCACGAATAGCCAAGGCAATACTCAGTCAAAAGAACAATGCAGGAGGTATCACAATACCTGACTTCAAACTATATTACAAAGCAATAACAATAAAAACAGCATGGTACTGGCACAAAAACAGACATGAAGACCAGTGGAACAGAATAGAGGACCCAGATATGAAGCCACACAACTATAACCAACTTGTCTTTGACAAAGGAGCTAAAAATATACGATGGAGAAAAGCAGCCTCTTCAACAAAAACTGCTGGGAAAACTGGTTAGCAGTCTGCAAAAAACTGAAACTAGATCCATGTATATCACCCTATACCAAGATTAACTCAAAATGGATCAAGGATCTTAATATCAGACCACAAACTCTAAAGTTGATACAGGAAAGAGTAGGAAATACTCTGGAGTTAGTAGGTATAGGTAAGAACTTTCTCAATGAAACCCCAGCAGCACAGCAACTAAGAGATAGCATAGATAAATGGGACTCATAAAACTAAAAAGCTTCTGTTCATCAAAAGAAATGGTCTCTAAACTGAAGAGAACACCCACAGAGTGGGAGAAAATATTTGCCACTATACATCAGACAAAGGACTGATAACCAGAATATATAGGGAACTTAAAAAACTAAATTCTCCCAAAACTAATGAACCAATAAAGAAATGGGCAAGTGAACTAAACAGAACTTTCTCAAAAGAAGAAATTCAAATGGCCAAAAAACACATGAAAAAATGCTCACCATCTCTAGCAATAAAGGAAATGCAAATTAAAACCACACTAAGATTCCACCTCACCCCTGTTAGAATAGCCATCATCAGCAACACCACCAACAACAGGTGTTGGCGAGGATGCGGGGAAAAAGGAACCCTCTTACACTGTTGGTGGGAATGTAAACTAGTACAACCACTCTGGAAAAAAATTTGGAGGCTACTTAAAAAGCTAGACATTGATCTACCATTTGATCCAGCAATACCACTCTTGGGGATATACCCAAAAGACTGTGACACAGGTTACTCCAGAGGCACCTGCACACCCATGTTTATTGCGGCACTATTCACAATAGCCAAGTTATGGAAACAGCCAAGATGCCCACCACTGACGAATGGATTAAGAAAATGTGGTATCTATACACAATGGAATTTTATGCAGCCATGAAGAAGAACGAAATGTTATCATTCGCTGGTAAATGGATGGAATTGGAGAACATCATTCTGAGTGAGGTTAGCCTGGCCCAAAAGACCAAAAATCGTATGTTCTCCCTCATATGTGGACATTAGATCAAGGGCAAACACAACAAGGGATTGGACTTTGAGCACATGATAAAAGCGAGAGCACACAAGGGAGGGTGAGGATAGGTAAGACACCTAAAAAACTAGCTAGCATTTGTTGCCCTTAACGCAGAGAAACTAAAGCAGATACCTTAAAGCAACTGAGGCCAATAGGAAAAGGGGACCAGGAACTAGAGAAAAGGTTAGATCAAAAAGAATTAACCTAGAAGGTAACACACAGCACAGGAAATAATGTGAGTCAACTCCCTGTATAGCTATCCTTATCTCAACCAGCAAAACCCTTGTTCCTTCCTATTATTGCTTATACTCTCTCTACAACAAAATTAGAATAAGGGCAAAATAGTTTCTGCTGGGTATTGAGGGGGGTGGGGGAGAGGGAGGGGGGGAGTGGGTGGTAAGGGAGGGGTGGGGGCAGGGGGAGAAATGACCAAGCCTTGTATGCACATATAATGAATAATAAAAAAAAATGAAAAAAAAAAGGCAGTAGGAAGGCTTGGGATGGTTTTAGGTGGAAGATGATAGGGTGTAATTTGTGTTTTTAAAAATACCACTTTCCTAGCACTGTAGAGAATGGGTTGATAATTGGTGAGTTAGGAAGCAGAAAGACACAGCAGGTAGAGGATGTTGCAAAAATCCAGGTGAAAATGAGAATGAGGGCATCACCATGGAGTTGAAGAAAAAAATGCATGCCAGAGACATAGCAGAGAGGTAAACTGCAGGAATTCGGTCACTAGTGGTCAGTATCCAGGAACCATGGGGGAATGAATCAAGGATGTCACCTGGATTTCTGACTTGAGTGCATACAGTGCCTCCTTATCAGGATGCGGCTCAAGAGAGGGAAGACCACATTGGCTTGGAGAGTTAAGGGGATGATAGTGAATTCAGGTGGGGGCCTGATGAACTTGAGAAGTTTGAGAGACAATCAGGAGGGATGTCTGGGAGATGTTCCTATGGCCCTAGGGTTGAGGCAGGAAATGCTGAGATATACTTGTTAGCTCGTCCCTTTGATAGGAAGATTATTCGGCATTATTAGAAGCTGAGGACTGTGGTGGCCCGATAACTAGATTAGCTTTCTTGGAAGCCACATTTTCTATTTTAGGATCATTTGAAGGTGGTAGACATGTTATTAACTTCTGTGAATGTTGGTACTTATGGCAAAAATTGTGAGAATTGACCAAGACACTTTTTGGAAGCAAGATCAGAATCTGAAATGACTTCTGGCAAAAGTTAGCAAGGGAATGGTGGTCCTTAAAGTGAACTTGGGTTTTTACCCTGTGCCAACTTTTCTTTTGAATGTCCTTCCCAGGCTTCTAGGGAGAATTTTGGCTACTAGACTAGTTAGAGGCTGCCTGCATAAAGAAAAATAAGAAGACACTTTCCATCTTCACAATAACCTTGTGAGATGTTTCAACTAACAGCTCCATTTTATAGGTAACACAGCTGAGCCTCTGAATGGTTATGTGGCTTACCTTGTAGTAAATAGTAAAGTTATACAGTTGTAGACTCTAAATCTTATTCTCTTTCTCCTATACAATACTTATATTTTAAAACCTTGGAGGAAAGTTACCAGTGTTGTTGTTGAGGAAAAAAAAATGTTTTGTGAAAAGGATGTGACTCCAGTGGTGGTCATCAAGAGCAACAGTCTCTGTTTCACCCAAAACTAATTCACTAGCAATCCTCTCCATCTCCCTGCCCATCTTATGCTCACAGCAGCCAGACCTGGTGATTCTGATGGTGCCCTGTTTTAGACCCATTTAAGACTTGGCCACTTATGGACTTCCTTATAATTTTCCCCTTTTTCCTTCTGCCTTCACCCTTGTCCTTACTTTGTTATATCCCAAGCCACCAAAAGGATACTTTGGTTCTAAGGAAGCACAAAGAAGCCAGCCCTTGTTTCTCATTTCTTTTAGAACACAAGCCATAACCTTCAAGGCCTTCAAGTCTCTGATCAATTCAGTAAAAGGTTACTGACCATAACCACGCCACACTGACCATTTCTCAAGCCCTTCTAGCCTCTTCTGCACACTGCAGGTCTTGTAATCTTTCTGTTCCCTCTTCCTGCAGTGCTTTTGCCCAGCAATCTCTGTGAATGGCTCCCACATATCACTCAGGTCTGTGAGATGGTTGTCTTAAACACCAACCTCCATCATGCTCTGTCCCTTATTTTGCCTGATTTTTCTTCATGGCACTTATTTATTAATCATGTATTGACATCTGCACGTAAGTTCTGTGAGCTCAGGGCTTTGTCCTGTTCCACTGTGTGCCTAGTTGCTAGAAGAACACCAGATGCACTCATGCTCTCAGAGCACTGGTTGACTCATGGAGTGAAATTCATGGAAGCCATGGTCCTGACAGAGGGGGATAGAACCACCTCCTTGGTCACAATCACCAAGGACCTATGATAATGTAAAAGAGTGACTTAGTTTTATCAACATGATTAGCATTGCTGGCTCCCCCAGGCTCCTTATTTGGAAGTAATCATAAACAGGCATCAGGAAACTTTTATACATTTTCCTGGGTTAGAGGCAGATGTGTTTCTCTGATAAGGATGGGAACAATTTTCCCTTCTAACACAGAAGTTACCAGGACAGGTTTGTTGCCCCAAGAGATAGCTAATAATATTGTGGGTTCCACATCCTATCCAGATCTACTCACCCAAATAATGAAGTTACTCACAGGAGCATCTGTATTTGTGAAGCCTTTTGAAAGTGCCTCCTGCATTATGATTTTTTGATCCCAGAGATAGAAGACTTTCTTTAATAACTTCGCTTTAGTAAGCCCTGTTTTCTGCCTTTTCTTAATCAGATGTTTCTTGTTGGAGATTTGAACCTCAGTATATTTTTCTGTTGCTCTTCTCCTAGGATTTTCTACGTCTCTCATGATTCCCAAGACTTGAAGATTTTCAGCTATATTGCTAGAGATGGTGCCAGTAACATCTTCAGGTGTAACGTCTTTAAATCCAAGAAGAAGGTAAAGGAACAGTCATTGTTTATCTATTATTTTTCTCTAATGGACCCAGGGCACCCCTAACATTGACCTGTTTCCATAGTGAAGACGTGGAAGTGGCATTTTAATGCCAAACATGGGGGAACTATTTTAGTACTCTGTTGTTGCTCCTATATAATGAAATTCTCTTTTAGTTTCATCTAAACTTTGTACTCAGTTACATACGGACTATTGAAGAGAGATTAATCATTGGGTAAAATGCTCTGAGAAAGGAATAGGTAGACAGCACCAAGAATGTTGCTCACTTTAGCACGCATTAGAAAAAAGCATTGCTGTTTACTAAGGGGACCCTTCATCATAATCCAATATATTTATCAGTGGACTTCAAATCATGACATGTGGAATCTAGCTTAGATTTAGGGTATGACATTAGTTGTCCTGGCTAATTATTTTGGTATGGCAACCTTGATACTTGAGTAAATGCAACTTTTATAATTCTATAGAGCCATCATCCCTCTCTATCATTCCTCCAGGAGCCTGACACACAAAAGTTAGGGTATCGGATACCTCCCTGTGGGTTATGAAACCTAGGATTTAGCACCATTTCTCCAGTGGGATCCTGAATGATGTTATGTAGGTTGCTACCTCACTATGAGTCTTAGCTTCCTTGTATATAATGAGGATAGTCAAAATTCACATTTCCTAAAATGTATTATCTAAAACATTTATCATTCAAAATGTTCCATGTTAAAACTACCTTATATAAGTTGCTGAGAAGTTCTGAAGTTAAGAAATCTCTTTAACTTTGCTGAACCCAGCATTTTTCAAACTGACATGGATGACCAGTAAAACCATATTTCTTCCATGTACTGTGTGTAAATATTTGTAAGAGAAATTTTGGAAAGTAGTGTATTGATGCCTATAAGGGTCCTTCCAGATCTACTATTCTAGAGACAAACCACAAAGTGTGGCTTTTGTGAGGACTTGTTACCTCTTCTTTCATATTCCTCCTTTGATTCCACATGACATCTTATGCCTTAAGACATCTTTAATAGATTTATAGGTAACTTATCATTGTCGAGTGGGAATAATAAGAATACTACATAATAGGGTCAAGATTTGCTAATACAGATGCCCCTTGACTTAATAAGATTATGTCCCAGTGAACCCAACTTAAATTGAAAATATCATAAATTGAAATGCATTTAATGTACCCAACCTAGTGAACATTGTAGCTAGCAACAAAGTATGCTGTAAAGAATGGGTGTTTCCCCTCCTGATCGTGTGACTAATTGGGAGCTGAAGCTCACTGCCACTGACCAGCATCGTGAACACTTCATACTTCATATCACTAGCCTGTGAAAAAGATCAAAATTCCAAGTATAATTTCTACTGAATGTTTCTGCCTTTTATACCATTGTAGAGTCAATAATTATTAAGTCTGGCTGTATATATGTACCCTGTCCCCCACAAAGAGAATTATGCTTTGCTAGCTAGCCTCTTCCTCTAAGGAGACTTATGCCCTTATCCTATTCTTAGATCTTTTATTGTTTTTTAAATCAATTCTTTGGTTATGCTGGAGATGGAGCCCAGGGTCCTGCATATTCTCTATAAGACACTTTCTACCATTGAGGTACATCTCCAGTTCTCAGGCTTTGTAAATACAAATTATAGAATTAGATGGAAAGTGCTAGAATTGGAAATATGGGAGTAAAAAGGGAGTAAATTGCCAGACTTCACTTCTAGATGATGGTGTAGTTTAAAAAAAAATTAAGTGGGCTGGACCTGATGGTGCACAACTATAATCCCAGCTACTAGGGAGACAGAGGTAGGAGGATCCCAGTCCAAGACCAGCACAGGCAAAAGCAGGAGACCCCATCTGAAAAACAAGCTAAAGCAATAAAAGGGCTGGAGGTATGGCTCAAATGGTAAAAAGCCTACTTGGTAAATGAGAGATCCTGAGTTCAAATTCTGGGTCCTGAGTTCCAAGTTACCAAGAGCCTTCTTGGTAAATGAGAGGTCCTGAGTTCAAGTTCTGAAAAAAAAGTGGGACCCTATCTCAAAAAACAAGCCAGGTGTGGTGGTGCACATCTATCACTCCAGCTATGTAGAAGGATTGTGGTCTGAGGCCAGCCTTAGGCAAAAGCATGATACCTTATTTGAAAAATAACTAAAAGCAAAAAAGAAATGGAGGTGTGGCTAAGGGAGAGAGCACCAGTACCTCTGAAAAAAGATGAAAGGCTAGGTTTAGTTGCATATTATAGAACTGATAGAAACAGGAGTAAGAATAGGGAGAGAAAGATAAGTTATAGGAGCTAAGAGATGCAAGAGTTTAGGGCTTGGGAGAATGAAAGCTCTTATTCAGCCCTGAGATTTAGAGGGTCTGGGGAAGAGATAAAAGGAAATTAAAAGTGTTCCTGAGCATTATGAACTGGATCACATTTGACAATACAACTAACAAGTAAAATTCTAATTCATTTTGAGTCCTTGACTGTGCTTCTGACTGTAGTTCTGTACATAGACTATCTACAATTTTAGCATCTATTACTTACAAATAACACATAATTATTTACCAAGTGCTTTAATAGTTCATCTTACTTTATCTGTATAATGCATAAGTAAAGAAAGTAAGACAAGTAATTTTCACCCTCAGTTTTATAGATGAGTAAATTGAGGCTTAGAGTGTTTAAAGGCCTTACCAACTTCCCATAAAATGGCATTGGCTAGAACCAGGGAGACACACAGAATGAAAGAATTTTGAGCAAGAAACCTAGGTTAAAGGGGACCATTTATTATATTTGCCTTGCCTTTGGATCTAGTATAGCAATACAGACATGGTAGGAAAACTGTCTGCCATAACCTGAGTCTGAAAACAGTGCCCACCTACAACTTTGAAGTAAGGCAGAGTTCCTGCTGTCCTAGGAAGAGTCATCTAGAACCTCTCACATCAGATTTTCCCTGTTTCATAGCTCTCAGAACTAATTCTGACCTCTGGCTCTTCTGTTTTTTTGTAATCCTTTCACCCTCACCTACTGAGTCTATAGTTCTTCATGGGGTTGGTTCTCAGGCCCTGTACTGGCCTGCAGCTATGTAACCAAGAGAATTGTTTCCAGACAGCTTGGGCTGTGAGCTCTGTTGCTGCCGAACTATAGGTGGGAGGGCCAGGTTCCAAGCCAAGAAAGAGAAATGAATTTTTCACAAAGGAAACAGAATGGGGGAGGGGTGAGGAACACATCTGTGAGGTTTTGCACACCATCCTGGTTAGCCTCCAAATATAGTGATTTATTTTTTATAAGCTTTTCTGGTTTTGGGTGATAATAGTTAGCTTGGAAAGGAGTTTTAATTGGCAGATCATAGGCATATTTAGGAGGTGAGGGAGAAAAGGACGATAGATCTAAGGAAATATCTTGCAAGGGTGTTTCTGGATCTTTGGAGGCGAAGAGAGAAAACTGTTGAATGGAATCCAGCAAACCTGGATGTTTTCCAGAGTGCTTATATTGATCACAGTGTAAGAAAGCCAAAGCCATGGCACCTCACTCTGTACCATGGCTTTGGCTACTACTCTTTCACATCACATCAGGCCCCTGTGTGTATGCCCATGGCATATGTCATGACAGGCCTCTTATGCAGTTGTCACTCTTAGCAGAAAGTTCACCATGGGGAGAAGGTGGTCTCTTCTGGTTGAGAATATGGGTCAGGTATCTCAACCTTCCCATTAGATGGAATCTCTGCACCTTGCTCCCAGCATAATATTAGTCTGTACCTGTAGAGCATTCTCTAGTCACTCACATGTACAGTCATCTTAAACCTTGACATGGGTTTTTCCAGTTGAGCTTTCACCAGAAGCTAAATAACAGAATATTTCTGAACCTCAATATGCTATACATTCTTCTGTTCTAGATGATCTAAATTGTAGCTAAATTAAGTCCAATAATAGCTAACCTGTTCTGATTACTTGCTATACTGCCGAGACTATTCTAAACTTTGTGTGATTAATTTTGTTCCCACAGTAGCTTTTTGAGGTAGGAACTATTATGCTTCTTATTTAATAGATGAGCACCATGGAACCCTAAGAAACATAACCTGTATAATTACTCATGATATATGGTGCAGTCAGAACTGAACCCAGGAAGTGTGACTAGAACTCACACTCTTTTTGTTTTTTTTTCAACTTACAATGGTTTTTATTGGAGACATAGTACCAACATCAGTCAAGGAGCATCGATAACCTAAAGGGAGATGTTTATTAGTAAACTTTATGGAGTTTACAAGTCCTCTTTCTTCTTTTCAGAATCCTTGGCAAAACAAAAACAAAACCAGCAAGAAACCAAACCCAAACCAAGCCAAATCAAACCAAAACTACTTTACCATAGATTTATAAGTGAAAAAATAACTGCTATAAGTAGTTTCCCTTTCAATCTGAAAGGGAAATCTGGAGTTCACGCTCTTAACCACTGCATTATACCATTGTCCTTAGCTCATTAGGAAGTTATATAATTAAGGACTAGCTTTGTTCTCCAAGACCAATTTGTAACTGGTTCTGTTATAGTCAACTTGGGTATAAAGAGCTCCTTAACTCTGGCCCAAGTCACTTAGACATATATTGCCCTCTTTTCCATGCAGTCAACATTGACTCCATTTTATAGTTAAAGAAAGGACCCAGGGTAGGAAATTACCCTTGGTCACACAGTGAGTCAATGACACTTCTGAGAATAGAATGAGGGTCCCTGCTTCCCAGTCCAGGATGTTACAGGAAACATAAAAGATACAGGAGCCTCTCTGACTTGTTTCTCCAGCCATTAAATAAGATGAAAGTCATCTCAGGAGTACCAGTTGTTGTGTGTGAACTAATCTGATCTTTTAAAAGCAAATTCTGAATGCCTAGGAAGGATTGCCAGGATTATGGTGGAGAGGCCCCAGAACTCTTCAGACTAGGAAGAGGGCTGAGAGCATTCCCTGGGGACTCTTGTAGATACCAGCATGCCTCCTTCCCCTTCTTGGGGATATAATGATGGTATTCATTT